CAACTACAGAACTGAAGCAGCAAAGATAGATTTGTTACATGTATGTTACAATGTATTATAGAGTACATAATTTAAATAACCAATATCTACTTAACCAATGTGTATGTTACATTTACTTTATTAACTTGAAAGAAAATTTAATGTATGTATATTTTTCTTTTTGTAAATGTTTTACATCGTGCATGACACGATGAGGTGGATAAAGCTTAGAGAGATCTCATTCTTATTTGGAACAAGTAAAAGTACCCGTCCCCAGTGACGAGAAACGATTGAGTTAATCTAGTAAAAATACCCGTCCCGAGTGACTGGAAAAGTTTAAGTTAATCTATCAATTTAAATTATTTCATGGGCTTTTAAAAAAATTAATTGGTTTCTCTCTGAGCCTAAGCTCTAAGCTACTTATACTGCCCACCGCGAAAAGTAATCGTTCAGCATTTCAGTCATGCTAAGAGGCGCTCAACAATAACATACGGTAAATCTACGTTTTTATTCTTTAAGTTACGTCACATTTTAAAATGTCAATGATTGTGTGATTAATTCTAGTGTAGAATATCCTGCTGCGAAATAAAACTTGACATAAACATTATTCATGTCTGTTCTCCAGTTATTTCAAAAGTGAATGTTGAGCTTTGCCTACTTGAGTAGCTTTTCAAAACAGCGCGGGAAGCGGCCGTCGTAAATGGGAGACAGACAAACACCACGCGGTTCGCAGTATATACAAGATTTGTTCAGTAGTGTGTGAGTGCTACATACTTGTAGTTTTGTGTTATCTAGATCAGGAATTTCATGTATTAGATATATTCGCGTCTATGCTTATCTTTATGACTCTCTTTCTCCTATAGTTTCTATTTATTACTATGCTCCAAAGCATTAAAGTAACGAAAATACTTGTATAATATATTTTAACAATTTGTACAAAATGAAGGTTAAGCTTAGTGCAAACTGTATTTAAAATCATGTTTTTGTATTAATTACAATATAACTGATTGTTTGTATGCATTTATTTGGTGGAAAGATGTGGAAGTTACTCTGTGAACCCCCCTCACCCAACATTTGCGGATGTTCTCAGTCTCTGCTCATTAAGATCATTAAGTACAATAATCTTAGAATACTGAATCAAATTTATACATTTTTTTATTTCGATTTGCGCCACAAGATTTAAAAACAAATTGCACTTAAAGAAATAATCAGTACATTTGAACTTGTAGATCTATTTCAATATATCCTAAAAAACTTTTTTTGGTCACTGTACATAATATCAAACAAACCCTTCGTCTGGCGCTAAGATATTTGTTCGTTGAACATGATAGAAGATAACGTTCAACAAGATCACCGTACTTAAGGACTGTGTTCACTTCCTCATTATTCATAGGAACTATTTTAAACAACAAGGGTATGAATTTTATTAACAACACACACACACACAGAGACAAAATGTCCTAGCCTCTTTCAAAATATAGGTTTTTAAGCTATTATTTAAATTCTACTGATGAAGTACACCATTTTATACACTTTTAGAAACAGCACAGCACTCTGGGTAAATTAGCAGCGAGCTTCAAAATTCGTTCTAAAGCTTTGACTGCCAATACATTATCGTCATTTTTAAACACTTCTCATCATACCACTATTGCTACTACCAAAAGAGCCGAATACTAACGTTTTTGGTGCACCTGACACAGAGCTGCTACTTCATGGAGAATGCCACATATCAAAGGGACTGCTGGAACTGATGAAGTCTTACTCGTAACACTTCACTGCCTATACAGATGAAAATTCTTGAAAAAAATACCTGTAACTGAAAGGGAGATTTCCTGGGTACTTAATGAGGAAAAACAATGATGAAAACCATGGTAATTAAACCCACAGAAAGCTTCTGTGTAATTTACTTTGTAACTAAAAGAAAATACGTTTTCTTTTAACAAGAAACTTGAAATTTTGAGTTCATCATCTGTATACGTACATATAATTATCTAAAACTGACTAATTTACAACGAAACTGATACAATATCTGACAACTGTGTATAAAATTATGTTCATACATTGTAATCAAATCCACCTCTCTAAGGCCTAGGAAGAGTTGTGCATACATCAGGCTTTAGATGAAAAGGCTGTAATGTTTTTAAAGGCACCAAAAATATTTATAAGAGAGGATTTAAGGCATTGAAGAGGAACAAGGAATTAAAGATGGTTAAATAAACTATTACTTTACATCTACACTGTTAACACAGCGGAAGGGATTAAAGATGGTTAAATAAGCTATTACTTTACATCTACACTGTTAACACAGCGGAAGGGATTAAAGATGGTTAAATAAACTATTACTTTACATCTACACTGTTAACACAGCGGAAGGGATTGAAGATGGTTAAATAAGCTATTACTTTACATCTACACTGTTAACACAGCGGAAGGGATTAAAGATGGTTAAATAAGCTATTACTTTACATCTACACTGTTAACACAACGGAAGGGAGTAAAGATGGTTAAGTAAGCTATTACTTTACATCTACACTGTTAACACAGCGGAAGGGGTTAAAGATGGTTAAGTAAGCTATTACTTTGATTTTCCCCTCATGCTGTGTTACAATGTAAATATAATCTTGGTTTCAATGCATCGTACAATCTTAAACCATTTTTGTCACTTTGTAATAATCCAATAAGAAATAAGTATTAAAAATGTACAGCAACGATGAAAATCCATCTCAACAATTTAAATACATAAAGCTTTAAAAGTAATAACAAACCATTTAAAACATCTCAAGTTTACACCATGGCAAACCCAGAAGAATATCAACAATAAGACACCTATAATGTATTAAATAACTTGACCTAAATATACTACCTGACAAGTTGTAAGATAAGCAGTTTAGGAATGATTTGATGAGATCAGTAATAGCAGCTAGTAATGAAATGTAAATTGTTCTGAAAATCCGTAATTCAACCTTTCACTTATAGCACAATAATGTTTTAACTTCACCTAGAAAAATTAAGGCATTATTAACACTGCTTTATTGATATGATACACTTTTAAGTCTTTGATATTATGTAGGGAATAATCTTATTAATTATTAAATTATTTAAAATTGTAGTTATTTCCAACTTCTCCAGTTGTATATATCATGTGCAACACCCTAACACAACATAAACGTGGCATATAGGCCCATTCATGCAGCTAACAAATTAATTGCTTTCAAAATGTTGCAGCGACGGCTACAGAAAACACATTATCTGTCACTTCAGGATACTATGATGTCTAACAACTTTGATAGTCGATAGAGATAAACTATTATATTACAGAAATACAATACACATACATGTCTGACAAATAAATATGCAGAACCAGAAAAAAACAAACGAATACCATGACGGTATTGTTCGTTTTGATAGGTGATGAACAATTCTATCAGTCTAAAATAAAAGATAGACATACTACAATAGCTTGAACAATAAAAACCAAGAGAAGGTACACTATAAAAATCAGGACAAGTGTATAACAGAATAGGCACTGCCTGAACTAGTATAACTTAAGAGAAGATACAACTGCTAGGACAAATACTTATTAGCGTAACTAGAACTGCTTGAACTGGTAAATACCAAAAGAAAATACATACTCTGAAATAGGTAGTGCCACTACATAACAAAATAACTACAGCTACTTAAAACATTAAACATCAATAGAAGATACATACGCTGAAATAAGTAGTGCCACTACATAATACAATAGCTACAGCTACTTAAAACATTAAACATCAATAGAAGATACATACACTGAAATAAGTAGTGCCACTACATAATACAATAGCTACAGCTACTTAAAACATTAAACATCAATAGAAGATACATTACACAGCAATAGATAGTTAGTACCAGTACATAATAACTGCTTAAGTCAGTAAACACCAAGAGAAGATAAACATACTGCAATAGCCAAACCCATTACATAAAGGAAAAACTATAACTGTTGGAACCAGTAAACATTGAAAGAAGATACATATATTACAACATCTAGAACTACATAACAGAAGATCTACAACTGTCTGAGCTAATAAACACCAAGAGAAGACGTACAACAGATAAAGCAATAAAGAAGAAAGAGCGAGAGCTATCTAATATTTTATCTGAAAGTCCATTCCAATAAATAACAACAGAATGAGAGGAAGACTGTATAACAATAAACAGACTAGTAAACAACAGGAAACACCACTGTTTGTGACATTTGGGACAGAATTAAACCCAATACATAATAGAAAAAGGTATGGTTGTCATAAGAATGTTAGTTAAAGAGTAAATCATAGTATTATGAGTAAATAAACAACTGAAATAGAAGTTACACAGTATACAGTAATCATATGGAATATAAATAATTACTCAAAGAAAGTGTATACTGTGATCATACAGTATGTAGTAACTAACCAATGAGAGGAGTTATATACTGTGATCATACAGTATGTAGTAACTAACCAATCAGAGAAGCTATATATTATAACCATACAGTATGTAGTAACTAACCAATGAGAGGAGTTATATACTGTGATCATACAGTATGTAGTAAATAACCAATCAGAAAAGCTATATACTATGACGACACAGTATGTAGTAACTAACAAAGGTCATAGTATATAGCTCCTCTGATTGGTTAGTTGCTACATACTGTATGGTCATAGTATATAGCTCCTCTGATCTGATTGGTTATTTACTACATACTGTATGATCACAGTATATAGCTCCTCTGATTGGTTAGTTACTACATACTGTATCAGCTTCTCTACTACATACTGTATGATCATAGTATATAGCTCCTCTGATTGGTTAGTTGCTACATACTGTATGATCACAGTATATAGCTCCTCTGATTGGTTAGTTACTACATACTGTATGATCACAGTATATAGCTCCTCTGATTGGTTAGTTACTACATACTGTATGATCATAGTGTATAGCTCCTCTGATTTGTTAGTTACTACATACTGTACGGTCATAGTATATAGCTCATCTGATTGGTTAGATGCTACATACTGTATGGTCATAGTATATAGCTCCTCTGATTGGTTAGATACTACATACTGTATGGTCGTAGTATATAGCTCCTCTGATTGGTTAGTTAATACATACTGTATGGTTATAATATATAGCTTCTCTGATTGGTTAGTTACTACATACTGTATGGTCATAGTATATAGCTCATATACTGTAATTATGTGGATGCAGATGAATACTTTCATCAAAAGGTGCATTGTAACAAATTAATAAGAAAAATTAGATAATTGTAGTACTAGAGTTCTGACAATATCAAATGAAGAGAAAAGTGTAGTAATTTAACACAAACAAACATTGTAAGCATTTATTAATATCTTAATATTAGTTCTGATAAAAAAAAAGCTATGATGCACCTAAATTAAAAATTTTTTGATTAAGGTGAATAGACAAGTAGATATATAAATGATACACTGATAAATAAAACAGTTATGGATAACTTGCCAGCATTTCTTGGCCTAACACTGTTACTCATAAAAAATCTGCTAGCCACTTATCCATTAATATCTAGCCATACAGATAGAGCAGGTAAAAACAATACGTTAGCATTGACATGCACTATTTCCTTATCATTTATTCATCAGGACATGCAAATATCTTGAATAGCACAATTGTATGTTGTTGGCTAAACAACTCACCAACACTGAATAACACAACTGGACACAATGAATGACAGCAGTGAAAATAGTTCAACACTTGTTTAGTCTAGTGGACACAGTTGACCACAACAGTGAAATTAGTTTTATATCTATTTCCCACATCCTTGACAATCAGAGGCCATTTATGACAAGAGTTATAATAACGTCTTCCCACATCCTTGACAATCAGAGGCTATATATGACAAGAGTTATAATAATGTCTTCCCACATCCTTGACAATCAGAGGCCATATATGACAAGAGTTATAATAATGTCTTCCCGCATCCTTGACAATCAGAGGCCATATATGACAAGAGTTATAGTAATGTCTTCCCACATCCTTGACAATCAGAGGCCATATATGACAAGAGTTATAATAATGTCTTCCCACATCCTTGACAATCAGAGGCCATATATGACAAGAGTTATAATAATGTCTTCTTATGTCACATTCAACACTGGCTAGCACTACTGGACACAGCAGTCAAAACACTGAAGTTATCATAATGTTTGCTACTAGAGAACTTAGCAATGACTAACCATAATGAATACACCTGAACACAGCACTGAAATTCCAGTAATGTCTGTTAACAGTTTAATCTACACTTTACACTGGAATCGAGTATGACTAGCTATAATTGACACACGTGATCACAATACTGCACTTCTAGTAATGTCTGCGAGCAGCTTACTCAGTACTTTACACTTATACTGGAGTCGAGTACTGTTTTGCTCAGCTTTTAGTAGTTGTTCTTCACATTTCTGTAATTCTCTTGTCAGAGCTGCATTTTCTACGTACAAATCTTTTAACAGCATGTCGGTCTGGCTAGGAATTGTCTCCTAAAAGAGGAAAAATTTTAAATGCTTCTTTTAACCAACATATCTAAGCTAATTTTTCCTGTGATTAAAAACAGCATATCTTATAAACAAGAAATAAACTATGACATATCTTTTAGTTTTATAATTATAACTCTACACCAACAAGTTCTTTAACTCTTGCTATATATATATTCTAGTTTTCCTCTCACATCACATGTTTACTCGGTAATAAACCTACTCTACAATTGAGCTGAATAGATGGCTGTAACTTTAGCCAAAATATTGAAAATAAAAACAAAATGATATACAGAAAATTTCGATGACGAGGAACCCACTTTGAGACTAATAATGCTTGGAGATAGCTTGAATGGGTAATGGAGAAAAACTTTAATATAATTTTAACATAACAGCAAATGTACAACATTTCCACAAGGTTTTGTACCTGATGATGACAAAATATTATAGAAAATTTATTTAATTTAACTTCCCTCTTATCATCTGCTATCTTTAACCTGTTTTCTCTTTTTTCTAATATTTACTTTTTGTCCTTAAATTAAAAATGAATGAACATATGATAAAATGGCCTTTTACTGAAACATTAAATTTTTTCAACAACAGCTGTAGATCAAAATACTTCTATGTTTAACATATATCACTAAGAAATATGTGACACCCCAAGTTATTTCTATAATAACATGGAAACTGATCTTTCTGTGGACTAAACCTAAAGCTCCCCCCTCACTATACTTCACAATAGATAGAAAGAAGATAAAAGATACTCCATCACCAGACATGCAAACAATCCTCACTACCAACCTCTGTGCCTTGTGATTGGAAGTGACGAAGTTTGTGAAGTTCCTCCTTATATTGTAGTTCCATTTCTACCCGCTCCATCATGTGTTCTTGTCCTACAAGTAGGTTAGGGTAAGGTTTTTGACTTGTTAATTTCTCCTTCACCATCCATTTTATCAAAGTTTACAGGCAGCCAACACAATATACAAGAGCATGCACTTTAAAATAATTACGTAAGTAAACGTGCATTCTTACACACCACCACCATTAATCCATTTTAATACAGTAACTGTTCAGAAGAAAATTAAAGGATATTAGTAATGATGCTTTTATGTATCATACTTATTGACCTGTTCATGGAAAATATAACTACGTAACTTGCATTAAGTATCAACCAGTCCATGGCAAGAAAAAAAGTTATGAAAGATACCAACACCCCACATTCTGTTTGAAAACTATCGTAAAACTTGAAAGAAAACAAAATAATTTAACACTGATGGTTCTTGAATTTTCTAACAATAATCCTATTTTTTTCTGTTTTAAAGATTGAGTTGGATGATAGATGGATAATGAACATTCTTTATACTAATCCTTTTAATAAGAGGTTGAATTAACAAGATACAAGTTGAAATGGATATGTTTAAATAAAGTGGGAACTTTAGTTAACTATTAGAACAAACAGTTCCAAGATGACTCGTCACTTCTTTCAGGTTGTTCATTTTATCCTACAGAAATCAAAAGTAGAAGTAAGAGACAACTGAGACTACACAATTAAGTCTGGATAGTATGTTGTTTGATTCGCAGCCTCATCTATTACTGTATGATTAACCCATCCAGTGCTATCACCATATGACATACGGTAGTTGTTGAGAATGCTATCATTGTATAACATATAGGTTTATATTTCCTGACACTGAAAAATGTTAACATTATTTACCCAAACTTTTTAACTGTCCTTTATACTAATAGATATTTTAACATAGTTTTAAATAATAGTAGTCAAAACATACCTCTATCTTCATATGTTTTCAATACAATACTTTCAATAATTTTACCCTATTTAACTTTGTGATTCTTAGATATGGAAGGCATAAAACCAAACAAGTAACATAACCGTTATTAATAATTAACCTTATAAAGCATTGAAAGTATGATTTTTTTTCTGTTGTTTTAAGTTTAATTTTTCAACAAATTTTTTCTTGTTCAACTAGATGTACAATAGCATGAATTGCTCAAAATCAATTTCTGTTCATTGTTTAAATAATTGGAAAAATTACTTTTTGTAAAGCACCATAAATAAAATGCCTACATAGTATAAATAAGTCAGTCAAGTGCAAGTAATCTAAAGAGGGCAAAGCTTACTAAGGTGTTTCAGTTTCTCTTCATATTCTTGCTTAATGTTCTCTTGTTCTTGAAAGTAGTTTGTCTCCAGCTGACTCTCTAAAGTCTTGAGTGTTTTTGAAAGGAGAGAATCTAGCTTGTCATTAAACCTATTCATTAAACTTTCATCTCCTCCTGCTGCCTGGCACGGATTGGAACTTGGTATATTGAATAGCTTTTGTATGTCAGTTTTTAACTGGGTTCTTAGAGAGTCAATGATTGAATTCAAATCTGTGCTGACTGTATTTGGGTTATTTGAAAAGTTTTTTACAATCTCATGACCACTCAAGCTATTTTTTGAACTTTCCCGAGATGTTGCTGTCTGTTCTTTTTCTAAGCAACTTAAAGTCACTTCATCCATTTTCTTCTCCAGGTCATGCTTCTGGCTTTCCAGCTGTTTGTTCATTTTGATTTGTCTGTTCAACTCTTCATCCTTCTGACTCAACAGAGATGTAAGCTGAGCCCTTATGTTTCCAATTTCATCTTCTTTCCTAGAAAGAGTTTCTTCTTTGATTCTGATCTCCTCTGTGATCTGTCTTTTCACCTCCTCCACCTGTTGCTGCATCTGGATTTTTAAAGTTTTCACAGTATTTCGTTGCTCATCCAGTTCTTCCTGCAATCTTTGTACCAGTGTGTCCATCTGGACAGAACCATCCAAACTGAAGTCCATGTTATCCTTGTCCACGTCAGCTTGTTTTAGAAGTTGGGCTTCGAGGTCTGTGATTCTATTTCTGTAAGAATTTTCAACTTCTCTTAAAGTTCTTTCATAGTCATTCTTTAATTTCTCCATTTCCTCTTGGTGATTCTCTTTCATCTGCTCCACTTCAAATGGCATTCTTGATAAACCTAATGAAAAATTTACATATTATTACCTCAAAAGATTCAAAGGATAGAAACTGATAGATGTTGGTTTCCAACAGAGTAATCTTGAAAGACTCAGAAGAGAAACTAAGCAAACAATCCAGAGTTTAATAGTTATGATGTTCAACATACTAATATTTTAAATTTAAGATATTTCAGGAATGGTGTTAAATCTAATAACCTTGCGAGGAACATCAAACTCTGATTAGAAACTGTGAATTAGTTCAATGTTTAAATTTTAAGAATGAGCTTCTTTGTACCCGAAGATCGAGAGCACTATATAAAAATTAAAAACTTGTGATTATAACAACAAAAACTTTTTATCATTTAAAACAGTAAACTATAACATTGAAAATACCATGAAATACATACCTTAAAAAGATCAAGAAATATATATGTACCATAATATGATGAAAATGTACCTTTACACTATCTTTTAAACCTCTACACTATCACAAGTAGTAATCCACTTGACTTGAGATTAGCCAGTTAGTTGGATTTTGTTCTTATTTACACTCCTTTTCTAAGCTACTTTGCAAATTTTGTATAGAGGTAGGAATGGATTAGGAACATAATCTGTTTGAAAGTGGATGTAAAAAAATTGAAACCAAATAAGAATAGGGATACACTAACAAAACTATTAAAAATATTTTCCCAAGTAAAATTCTTGATGTACAACAGAAGTCCAAAAATACACGCTTACGTGTTGTTGTTGTCATTTTTCAGTTGTTCCTGAATTTCTGTATAGATAAAGTTAGTCATTTTGTTATAAGCTGATCAGCAGGTTTCAATATTATAAAAATAGCTCTACAAATAAGGGCTTACGTGTTGTTGTCATTTTTCAGTTGTTCCTGAATTTCTGTATAGATAAAGTTAGTCATTTTGTTATAAGCTGATCAGCAGGTTTCAATATTATAAAAATAGCTCTACAAATAAGGGCTTACGTGTTGTTGTCTTTTTTCAGTTGTTCCTGAATTTCTGTATAGATAAAGTTAGTCATTTTGTTATAAGCTGATCAGCAGGTTTCAATATTATAAAAATAGCTCTACAAATAAGGGCTGAAAACAACACTAACAGCAAGGATACCCAACTGAGTGGCCTGAGTGATTTTGTGATTTACCTATTATTCATCAATAACACTAATTATTATTAATTGTAATTTTTATTAGAGATCTTCAACAGCTTTTCTTGAAGAAGTTTACTACATAATTCTTTATTTTTATTCAAGTGATGTTAACTCCACTGCAAACAAGTGTTGAAAAACTTAGTCTAATTTCAACATAAAAAGGTGGATTTTGATCAATTAAACTGAACAGTTAGTAGTTTCAAAAATATCACTGAACTTTGACATACTGCATAAAATGAGAGCATAACCAGTGTTACCTTCTTCAACTTCTGGTGTCAGGTGAATTCTTCTTCTTACTTTACCAAGTTTGGGGCTATCATCTCCAGAATTTTCATCTGAAATACAAGGAAAAATACATGTTTTTTAAGGTACAGCAGTTTCATGAAATGTATTTTTCTCTTTCTTTGATTTACTAAAATCTACAGTTACCATTAAATAGTGATATTTCTCTAAAATTAGTCAAATTTAATAGAATATTTTATAAAATATTCCTTTCTTTTTGTTTGGTTTAACAAAGTCTACAGTTATATTTAACCCTATGCATACAAGAGGGTCCAAGTGAGCATGTTACAACCTTTTTTAACAAGTTATATTCAGAATCTAAATAAACAACTGTATTATCAATGTATGTCATTAATGTATTATTGACATACATTGATAATAAAGTTGTTTATTAATGTATTATTGACATACATTGATAATACAGTTGTTTAATAATACCTTTGTCATCAAAATAGAGATAATATAAAAATTTTCAATTACAAACCAAGTTTTAATTTTTTTCAATTTTAAAAGGAAATATTTATACAAGTTCCCAGTCTTCACTTCTCTGTGTCATGCGATGCACCTTCACTCTGAATTGTCCCATTTAGGTTTCATTTCTATCACATGTGATTTTATGAGTGTCCTGCTAACTGAAAACACTGACTATTTATACTGGAAAGCCAGAATATAAAATTAGAATCTCCCATCTTGTTAACTTACTGAGATACATAAAAGAAAAATGTGAAACTCATATGACATGTCCTTCCCATATCTATTTGTTCTTCAAAAAATATCAGTAACTCTCTCTGAAGTTGCTATTGGATTACTTATAACAAATAGAAAGAGCAGCTATTTTTTTTACAAGATTTCTTACACAGTTGTTTCATTTTGCAGCGAGTAAGTACATGTTTAGCCTCAGTTTTACTCTTGGCAATTGTGTTTTTCTGCTTGGAACAGTTAACGGAATTTTTTAAACCTATCTAAAGTTTAGTCAGAAAGCCAGTTAAATTACAATAGTTTCGAGAAATTCTACTTTAGTACCTAATATGTTTTTATGTTCTAAGATGCATATTTGAAAAGAACATTAATGATTTTGTGGAAGTATGCTCTCAAGTACTTACTGAAAAAAGGCTTCAATTGTAATGTAAGTCCAAAATTTCTGGTTTTAAGTGTATTTTTTATTTAATGTTAAATATTTTTCAAGTAATCTAGATGCAAAAATTAGAAACTTATTAGGTTGGATAAACAAGAAAAATAATGATTTAATGCAACCAGCTCAAGCTGTGTCACAACTGAAACCTGATGGATTGTTTACACTAAGTTATCTTGCAGTCACATACTTGGGTAAGGCTTAAATGGCACTTTGGAGTAATATTATTAGAAGCAAGAAGATGCAAAACGGTTAGATAGCCAAGTAATTTCCATTGCCTATTAAAACCTGCAGTCACAGTCATTCTAGAAAAAAAAAAGTCCAATTTTTATTTTGTAGTTTTTATTTTTTTTGTTTGTTAGATGATTTCCATACAGTTAATATTAGTGTAGAAAAAAAAAAGTTTTATTCGGAAAAAAAATTATGATATTTATTTAGGAGG